ATTTAGAATAAGGTAAATAATTAGATTACTGATGTCCATGTAAGCATAGTCATTGTCTTTGACCTTGAATGGACAATTTGCCTTATTTCTGACAAATTGTCTTATTTCTTTATTTATAGCCCACAAAGATATAATTAAAATAAACAATAATATTAAAACAATGTCAAATGGTACATACACTACTGTTCAAAAGTTTGAGGTCGGTATGATTTTTTAAAATATTTTTGAAAGAGGTATCTAATGCTTACTAGGGCTGCATAATTAATTAAATTTCTAATCAGGATTACAATTACGGATGCACAATTAATCGTTCAAAGCGGCAATTAATCGTTCAAAGTCCACTTATGTTATTCTGCGTGCTTAAGATGGTTTTTTTTTGTTTTGTTTTTATACAGGTTAGCTTAAGGGTTTTTCCATTGTTTAAATTTTAGTATAACATTATAATACCATGCAAATTTAAACTTTTGTTTAAAGAAGAAACCAATCCCATTAATGTATAGTTGACATTTGAGACTTAATAATATAGAAAAGCAATAAAAGTGAGTTCAGCTTCTTTATTTTCATATAAAAATATGGCATGCAGTTGCTTCTAACAATGGTATAAACATCATTCAATGTAAATTGTGGTTTCTGATTAACTCTGGAGCACATGCACCTGAAAGTGTGACACTTGCAGCAAACAGCCAATCACAAAGAACATGGAAAGCATCAGTTTGATTCACTTTTCGTGAGAGTTGGCACAATACACTTCTCTGCTGAAGATTAAGAGATGTTGTTTTTAAAAAATATTATGAATTTAAATGCATTTACAATGCAGAAATAAACTGCTGCAGGAAAAGTTTGATAAGGCAACATAAATAAAATATCTGACTATGCAAATGAAATCAACTGAATTTAAGAATTTACAGTGGGTATAGAAAAGAATCACCACCCTTTAAAATAATCACATTTTGTTGCTTTGCAGCCTAAAATAAAGACGGACACAGTTTTTGCTTTAACATCCAAGTGAAAGATATAACACCAACATGTCAGAAAAAAAATAAACAGAAATCACTGAGTTGAAAAAAGTATCACCCTTTCCTCAAAATGACTTGTAATCAAACCGACGATGAACATTATTAACAGCAATTATTATATGATGCAATCAGACTTATAGCAAAATGTGGTAGTTCTGTATGTTGTTTCAGGGTTGGCATCATCTGAGGTCCTCTGAGGGGTTGGCATCATCTCTTCTCAGGTGTTCTGGATCCAGACTGAAGCTTGTGTAAATTCTAGTTACCACGGGATGTCAATCTCGTGGCAAAAACAGAGAAACAAATAGAGACATAATTAGCATAGCTGCTGTTCCAACCAAGCAAAATTGATTTTTTAACCCAAACTTGTCAAGGTTTAAGGAAGGACCCAACTGCAGAATGGACAGGGGAAACAATTTATTAGCAAACTTAGAACACAATAGGATAAGGCAGGGAGACAGTCACACAACAAGGCAGGGTACACAATAAGAAAGTAAAACTGGAACTTCTCACGACAAGGATAACCAAAAAAAAGAAAAAAAAAGAAAAAGAGTTCAGGACTAACAATAAAATGATGAAACCACTAGGACTATACTAGACTACAGACAACACAGAGACAAGGAAACTGGGGCCAATGAGAGGGAAACTGGACTAATCGAAGTCGACTGACAAACACTCAAACAAGACTAACAGCAACAGCACAGAGAATTCACACACACAACCAAAGAGGAGACAAGGAAAATGCTGACAAAGATAATGATGACAAAAGGAAATGGAGACACCCAAAGGTACTGTAGACAGAGGTAATAAGAACACTGACGACAAACGGAGGCACTGAAGACAAAGATGGCAATCAAGATAATGCAGATAGATAAAGGTATAGTGTACACGGACAACATAGGAGACAACGAACCACCAACGACGAGAGGGAAATGAGCACCCTATAAAGGGTTAGAGCACACGAGGACCAGCTGAACACAATCGGACGAACGAGGACTAAATAAGGGGGTGTGGTTATTGAAATTGACAAGGCGGGACAAGAGGAGCACATGGCCAACAAAAACAAAGACACAACCATGTGTTCAGGCACAAGATAAACAAAGAAACATTGAACAAAGACAAGACAGACAAGGCTGTCACTTGGCCAAAGAGATGTGTCTTTTAATCTAGATTTAAACAGAGAGAGTGTGTCTGAACCCCGAACGTTATCAGGGAGGCTATTCCAGAGTTTGGGAGCCAAATGGAAAAAAGCTCTACCTCCTTTAGTGGATTTGCTATCCTAGGCACTACCAAAAGTCCAGAGTTTTGCGACCTTAGGGAGCGTGATGGATTGTAGCGTGGTAGAAGACTAGTTAGGTACG